ATGGCAGTGTGGACGCATCAGTTCTCTGCCGAGGCCACCAGGCTGGCCCACTTTTTCGAGGGTTGTCACTGCCATCAGGAGCAGCTGACAGACCCAGAAAACCGGGAAAAGATAAACTGTTGTTGGAAAGGCAGGCGCTTGCCTTGGCTTGCGGTTGGTAATCTCCAGGGAGCTTTGCAAGATGCCATGACAAACAACGAGATTAGTGTTCTTGCGCATCTCTTGTCTCGTTCTAGTGAAACTGCAAGTCGGATGGCGCACATGGCGGACACGTGCAACAAAGTATTTGTTGCCGTTATCCAGCAAAAGCTTGCGTATGCTCAGCAAGTACCATGGGTGTTTGCCGCAGCGTTTGCGGGGTATATGGGCGAGACTTGGGGCCGAGTGAAAAAGGTTCTTCGGCCACATCTTCAGAACGTTGACAACATGATCTCCAGTGGCCAAGTCGGCGCTCTAGACTCTGTTACACATGCTTTGTTTGGACCAACCGACACAGGCCGCATGCTCCGAGAGTTTCTGAACTCGGAGGATGACGTGCCCCTTGATCGATGGCCAGCGTTGTTTTGGAGAGTACAGGAATATGCCTTTGTTTCTTTGTCCGAGCGACACACGGAGAGAGAGCATGTCGGTGTCAAGGTTGCAGCAAACCGTGGTCTCACAAAGGCTGGGCCTGCAGTTGTCTGCAGCCGCAAGCGCAGAGATCAAGTGTTGGAGATGCTGGAAGATGAGAAACAGCTCGCTTTCTTGGTCAACAATTGGCGCAGCAGGCGCCTTTGGAGTAGCCTGCTGGAGCACATGCTCACTCACGAAGAGGTTCGACTTATGGACACGCCAAAGAGGCTTTCCCGCTTGTACGGGTATAGCGAGGAAGACCACTTCAAAGATTGCGAGGACTCTGTTCGTGCTGATGCCGTTTACCGCCAAACTTTGAGAGATCAGACTTTGTTACTGGCCGGAAGCTTCAAGCTTCCGAGTGCTTCCCACCAGGTAGTGAACTGGCTGAAAGGCCATTTGGCGACGGGCGTGTTTTTCAGTGTGTCCACGCATGTCTTTGAGCTACTTGTCGACAGGGGTCGGAGATGTGAAGACCCAGCCGCATCCTTCAGAACCGACGTGCTGCTGTCTATTCTGCGAGCCGACGTCCACCCTCGGGTAAGTGATCGTGCTTCGGTTTTCTGCTCGGTGCTGGATGCCAGGCCAGAAGCAAGAACGGATGCTCGTGTTTCGCGACCTGCTGCACACATCACAGACCCGAAGCTAGGCCGCCGCAGCTGTGTGGTTGTGCAGCGTTTCCACGACGTGGATGTTTCCCAGGGCGTGCACGGCCTTGGTGGAGATGTGCGGGTGGCGTGCACGAATGTGCGGATCGAGGTTCTCGACTTGGCACGGGTGTGCACAGCAGAGAACTTGAAAGCCTTTTGTGCAAACTGTTTGCTCTGGCGTGCTATGCCTGCGGAACTGGCCTTGGCTCTGGGAGACGAGTCCACGCAGCCAGGTTTGCTGCAGGAGCCGCAAGTGCAGAAACTTCCAGAGATTGTCTTAGACAGCGATCCTGCCTGCTTGTTGAGTCGACCGCCTCCGGATCCGCATGTGGAAGATGCCCTCGACATCCTGCACCCCCCTGCCCATGTCGTGCAGAATGCGGACGACTCTGCGGTGCTGCAGGTCTACGGTGCTCCGTGTAGCGACCGAGAAATGCAAGCTATCAAAGAGTTGCTGCGAGCAAGGGCCATCGGCATTGAATCTGCTGTGTATGCCACAGACCTTGAACACTTCGATGCTGTTGCACTGGAAGGCTTGCGTGACCGAGGTCTTGTCATCTGCGAGACTGATATGTTCTCAGATGTATCCGTCGCCTTGACGGGCAAGTTGACCTACAGTGCAAGCTTGGTGCTGGCACGGCCATTGTTGCTTTGGGAGCTTGACCAAACGACTTTGACTCGAGGCCAGATGCCAGGCCGATCAAAGTTGGAGTTAATTCGTTTGTTGTTTGTCTTGGGCTGGGAGCCAGGGCTGGGCCGGGAAGCGTGGCATCGCAAGCAGGGAGAGAAACGTCTTCCAGATGACGTTCTAGTTTGCAGCCTCCCCTTCCTCAGAGCTTTGATGCTGAGTCGGCTTATATGGGAAAAGCCCGGCAACTTGTCGGGCATTTACTTGAAAGGCCCCCAGCAGTATTATGAGTTCTTGGTGGATCAGGACGATCTCAGCAGCTTGCGGGATGCTTCTGCAGAGGAAATCAATGCTCGGTTCGCGCAGAAGAAAAAAAGACCTGCTGGCCGCAGCTTGACAAGAGATGCGGCTACAGGTCTGGAGCTTGACCCAGAGGCTGATGATGCCGAGTTAGAAGAGCTTGTGCAAGAGCTGCCTGAAAAGCTCATGCAAGCAGAAGAGCCGCAGCCAAGCATGGCCAGCGGTGGTAGACGTGTCGCTCCTCTAGAAATCGACTTGGGAGGCGGTAGGACACAGGTAGTGCATTTTGACAATTTCACACACTCCAGCGGTCAGCTCCGAGCATTCGTTGCTTGCGAGACACACAGCGGCTGCCGCTTGTACACGTTTGTACGGCATCATGGCAGCCGCAGGCGGGCTGCTGCCTTTTTGCTTGCTTGGCAAATGCGAGCAGCTCACCACCGCAGAGCTGAAGCTCACATTGCGGACAAGCCAAGTGAAGAGCAGGTGGATGCCATGATGCTCCGGATCGCTTGATGCAACACACGGCAGTCAGAGTGAACGTTTGAGGGTTTTTTTTTAGTTTGTTGCATTGTTTGGATGCAGGACACGTGTTGGCTGACTGTGCTGCTTCCGTTTGCTGCAAGAGTACCTCGGTCACTGTGTGCATGTGTGACTGCCCGCAGCCCCTTTCGGCTCCTTTGGGCTGTGCAGGGGCCAATGCATTGGCATTTCTCCCACTACGGAAGGCCGGCAGGGAGAAGTGTAGTCGAGTCTCGAAAGCTTTGCGGTGAGAAACCTGTAAAGTTACAAAGCTTTGAAACCCAGGCAGTCCTTAAGCCCCTAGAGTAAGAAGCTTGCTAACTCACAGAGCCAGATGCGGCCACCGTGTGCTCACCTGGGTTTCGGGCTGCGTTTTCGACGCTAACCCATTTCCCAGGCTGCACTATGGATCGGCACGCTACCTGGTCTGTGGGCTGCACGAAGCTACCCTGGAGCTACAGGATGCACAGTAGTCAGTTTAGCGTCCCCGCTATAGGTGTAGCAGCAAGCCAGGTTGCAGTTGCAGGTGTCTGTTGGAACAGATTAGCCTCTCAAAAGCAAAGCAAAACCCCCAACACCTTAAAAAAAATTGCTCGCAGGTGGGTGCCGGTGGTCTACAACCAGTGGGGCGAGGCGCAGCTCCCACACCGGCCGCCTGCGCTGTTGCCGCCGCATCCGCCGGCGGCGGCGGCCCCTTTTGCTGGCACGGGTGCAGCCCACGGTGCAGCCACAGGTGGCGGTGTTGCTGCTAACCCCTCGGGGGCTGCAGCAATGCCGGCGCCGAAAAAAAATCCTGGCCAGGTGGACCTAAGCAGCGAGGATGACGACGAGGAGTCTGAGGAGGAGGAGGCGGCTAAGAAGGACGAGGACAAGGAGCCGGACTCCCAGTCGCGGAAGGATGATATCGTGGTGGTGGACCACGACCAGGAGAAGAAGAAAGAAGAAAAGGGTGGCAAAAAGGAGGAGGCTGCTCAGAAGCGCAAGAAGAAGAAGGAGAGCAGCTCTTCCAGCGGAGGCAACAGTGAGTCCTCCAGCAAGAAAGAAAAGCCCCGTGCAGCCCCCGCTGCCAAGGAGGCCAAGCAGGCACACGAGGCCCAGGCCGACGAGGAAGAGAGCGGCAAGGCCAAGGAGCCCAAGGAAGACAAGGAGGCGGAGGCGGCGGAGGGCGAGCCTGCAGCGCGGCCTGCGAGGAAGAACCGCAGCCGGCACTCAGCGGACGAGGCAGATGTCGTTCGCTGCGAGCACTGCTGGATGTGTGTGAAGAAAGAAGGCCTGCAAAGCCACCTGGAGAACAGCGAATACTGCCGCCAGTGGCGGCTCCACGCCGCCGGCCAAAATGTGGCCGGCCAAAAGCCTGCGGAAGAGCAGGCGAGCTCGGGTGCGTGCCAGTGCAGACACTGCTCACGGCAGTTCATGCGCAGGTGGGACATGCTGCAGCACTGCCTGGGCACGCACCCGAACTCCGACGAGGCTAAGGAATGCTTGCAGATGCACAATAAGCGGAAGAAGCAGCCATCAAAGGAGGACCGGGCGGCTAGCATGAGCCAACACAGGCCGCCGGTGCAGCTGCGGAGCAGGGGGCGTGTGGAGGAGCCGCCGCACAGACGTGGCCCGCGGCGTGAAGAGAGCCGAGATGATGATGGCAGCCGTGGGCGGCGGAGAAGCCGTGGTGAGAGCCGCCAGAGCCGTGGCCAGGCAAGCTCTCGAGGCGGCGGCCAGGCAAGCTCTCGGGGGAGCCGCAAAGGCGGCGGCCAGGCAAGCTCTCGAGGGAGCCGCAAGAGCTCCCGCGGCAGCGAGCACATGGACCGACGCTTCTCGGGCCGCTCCCGCAGCCGCAGGGCGAGCGAGCCTGCGGCAAGCTCCGGCCGCCGTGGGCGCGATTCGCGGAAGGAGCCGACAGGGCAGCTAGGCCGCAGCAAATCATCGCCAAGGGATCGGGCCATGGTGGCGGGTCAGAGCCAGAGCCCTCAGATCCCCCAGATGATGCTGGCCTTTTTCGATGCCACCACAAAGATGCTGGACATGCAGCAGCAGTAGTCCTAACATCGAAGATTTTTGGGCGAGAGGAAGAATCCTGGGCCTGGTGTCCTAAGATCCGTGCGATCCTGGACCCAGAGCCCTAAGATTCGGCTCTCGCAGAGGAGGCTAGGCCGCGGTAGCTAGGCCGTAGAGCCAGGCCGTAGGGTAGGAGCCCGACTGGCCTTCACCCGCCCTTAGCTCACGAAAGCCTTCAGGCCCCAAGCAAAGCTACAGCTACTACAGCTTTTAAGCTTTTAGCCGGAAACCGGAAACCTGAACCCTTAGGCACCAAGCAAAATACAGCTACTACAGCTTTTAAGCTTTTAGCCGGAAACCTGAACCCTTAGGCACCAAGCACAACTGAAGCTGAAAAGGCCAAGTCGGAAGTAGCTCCAGTGTTCCACTCACCAAGCACTGCCGAGCACAGTCGTGCCAAAAAAGATTCGTTCTCAGCAGGCTGGCGGGGCGTGTGGTCAAGTGCACAGCCAGAAAAAACTACAACCAGGAATCATCACGGTCGAGCGTTTGTTGCAAAACAACTACTGAAGCGTTTCAGTTTTGTTTTTGCCGGGCATGTTGAACTCATAAAGGGTTTTAAGGCCACAAGAGGACAGAACACAGAAAACACAGTGAATTCTCAAGGGGGCGGCCCTGGGGGTCTTGGGGGGGGGCTTTGGGGGCACTGGGAGGGCTCTGGAGGGCGTTTGCAGGGGATTTAGCACCTTTGGGGGTCTCGTGTTCGGGGTGTCCGGGGTCGTGTCGGGGTCGTGTCCGGGATGTCCGGGGTCGTGTCCGGGATGTCCGGGGTCGTGTCCGGGATGTCCGGGGTTGTGTCCGGGATGTCCGGGGCGGGGCCCGGGAAAGGTGTCCGGGGCGGGGCCCGAGGGTGTCCGTTTTGGGTGTCCCGCCCATGTCCCGCCATGTCCCGCCATGTCCCGCCCATGTCCCGCCATGTCCCGCCCGTGTCCCGCCATGTCCCGCCCATGTCCCGCCATGTCCCGCCCGTGTCCCGCCATGTCCCGCCCATGTCCCGCCCATGTCCCGCCCGTGTCCCGCCATGTCCCGCCCATGTCCCGCCCGTGTCCCGCCCATGTCCCGCCAATGTCCCGCCATGTCCCGCCCATGTCCCGCCATGTCCCGCCCATGTCCCGCCATGTCCCGCCCACGTCCCGCCATGTCCCGCCCTTGTCCCGCCCGAGTTCCGCCCAGCCCCGGTCCCGCCCACGTCTCATGATGTCCTCTGCGTCCTCTAAACTCTTTGCACAGCAGCCGTTTTCTCTCGAGGCTTTGTTTGTGTTAGCAGCAAAGAAAAAAAGCGCCAGGGGTATGCCTGGCAAACGCAAACGAGGTGACTCTCCAGTGCATGAGACCGATGCGACCCAGCCGCAGGCAGGCAGCAGTGTGATCACTGATGCGACCCAGCCGCAGGCGGGCAGCAGTGTGATCACTAGTGTGATCACCCGCCGCACACAGGAGCGATCCGAGCGATCCAGATCCCCGCGAGGGGAAAGGGTTGCGACTATCATTTGGAAGTGGTGCTGGAAACGAATGGAGACGGATGATGGGACCATTTGGTGGTGGCAATGGTGGAAGGAAGGGTCAACGAATGGAGACAGATGATGGGACCACTTGGTGGTGGCAATGGTGGAAGGAAGGGTCCAGAATCTGAGTGCGGTTTTTTTTCGGCAATAAGAGCTTGCGGTGGAATGCTGGAATGCTGTCGCCGACAATAAGAGTTTGCGGTGGAATGCTGTCGCAGACAATAAGAGTTTGCGGTGGAATGCTGTCGCCGAATTGCATGACTCAGAGATTGCATGATTGCCTGTCTCAAGGCCTTGCATGGAAATGGAAACAAGTGCATTGCAAGGGTAGACTGTGCCACCCAATTGCCTGACTGAGAGACTGCATTGCATGATTGCTTGTCTTTTTCCGTGGGTGGAAATGTTTACATCAGTCCTGAGTTTGTCACTGAGAGTGAGCAAAGCCAGTTCCAAGAATAGCGTAGACAGCCGGAGCCATCATCCTGATTTCTTTTCTTTCTCAAGCCAAGCTTTTGTTTTTAGTGGGTTGCAGCATGATGGAGACTGGGGCAGCGAAGCTCCTGTATGCGATGAGTCCTTGGAGCTCAAAGCTCGGGCGTGCACCTGTGGTTGCTGAGCCCTGTGTAGGCATCTCTGCTTATCGAGAGTGGATGCAGAAAGCAGGGCTTGTTTACAGGCCATGCGCAGCCTACGATTTCAACATGGACTTGGTGCCGTTTTGGCGAGCTCTGCGAAACCAGGGTTTGCAGGGGACTTCGGAAGTCAAACTGGGTTTGCAAGAAGGGGACATCGAGAGGAATGTCGTGCTGTCAAAACTGTCAAGTGCGGAAGGCTTGATAAGCGGGCCCCCTTGTCAGCCTTTTGCCTCCACAGGTTTAAGGCAGGGCGCCCAGGACGAAAAAGGCCGCACAGATGTTTTTGAATCAGTTGTAAGCATGATATGTGAGGAAGGCTCGCGTGGCTGTCTTCTGTTTTTCATTCTGGAAAACAGCTCACATTTGGCTGATGCCAACCATGCTGAGTTTCTGAATGAGATGCTCTTGAGACTTGAAGTGTCACTGCCATATTTTTTGGTAGACACCGTGAAAAAGGATGCTGCGGAGTTTCTGCCAGTCAAGAGAGGTCGTTTTTTCATCAGAGGGCTAAGGAGAGACTGCCTGCCAGACCCCATGCAGGCGTTCCTCCCTGCCCCCCTGTGCTGCACGGATCTGCTCCCGGCAGTCACACTGGAAGAGATTTTGGATCTGAGCTTGGCTGCGACCGATGTGCAGAGTTTGTGTGCAGGGCACGCTGCTAACCTCACATTGTACAAGCAGACCATATCTCAGTGCATCGAAGAGCATCGTGCCCAAGGCAAGCCGCTGCCCTCGAACACGGTTGTTGTGGAGCTCGACCGAAACCCCTTGAGAACTTTCGGCGGGAAGTGGGGTTGGGGCAAGATCCCATCACTGAGGACTACGGGGCCACCTTTGTTTCTTCTGAGTTGCGAGGACTTGTCGAGGCCATGGCAGGTCATGCGACTGCACAGGTGGCTCAGCATCGCTGAGCGGTGCAGCGCTCTGGGGCAGCGTGCAAGCCACGCGGCCTTGTTCTCGAGAGACACCCATGCCCTGCATGCGATCGGGAACGCTCTCTCGCCAGTGCAGCTGGCCGCTGTTGCCTCGCCGCTCGTGGAGGCAGCGGTCAACTCTGGCGTGCTCACTGCAGGCAACCGTTGCAAAGCCTGCGCAGTGGAGCTTCTGCCGCACACGAAGCCACCGGGTACATCAGCAGCTTGTATCCTTGAAAAGACCCCGAGGCCAAGCGCCACAAAAGGTTCCAAACCAAAGGCTGCAGTTGAAGAGGCAACACAAAAGACTCGAAAACCGAGGGCCAAAAGCAGTGCAAAGCCGAAGGCTTCAACTGAAGAGGCAAGCCCAAAGACCCGAACCCCGAAGGCCAAAACAGCTACAAAGCCAAAGGTTTCAACTGAAGAGGTAACCCCAAAGACTCGCAACCCCAAGGCCAACAGGGTTCGAAAGCCAAGGGCTCCAACTGAAGAGGAAGCTCCAAAGACTCTGCCTCGTGACACCAGCGCAAAGCCAGAGGCTTCAGCTGAAGAGGAAGCCCCAAAGACTCTGCCTCGTGACACCAGCACAAAGCCAGAGGCTTCAGCTGAAGAGGAAGCCCCAAAGACTCTGCCTCGTGACACCAGCACAAAGCCGGAGGCTTCAGCTGAAGAGGAAGCCCCAAAGACTCTGCCTCGTGACACCAGCACAAAGCCGGAGGCTTCAGCTGAAGAGGAAGCCCCAAAGACTCTGCCTCGTGACACCAGCACAGCTGGTTTAGATGGCACCCAGGACTTACCACGTCACCAGCCAGAAGGCAGCACCCAGGACTTACCACGTCACCAGCCAGAAGGCAGCACCCAGGACTTACCACGTCACCAGTCCGATGACTTGGAGCTAGAGCTTGAGCGACTGGTTGACGAGCTTTTTTCGGATGATGATCCGGGCATGGACGTTGATGATGCTGCGCCACAGAGTCCACTCGTCCTGAGTGAGAAAGCAACACACCTCTTCGAGTGTTTGGCTAAAGCCAAAGCTTCATCCAACCTGAGTAAGCTTGCCGGGTAGTTCCCTGATGACAGCCATTGAACTCAGGGTTCTTGTTTTTGTGTCTTGCAGCGATTTGTTTGGCTCCACAAGCCCCTCAGCTCCCACACTCGTGCTCCCCTGCCCCGCAGCAAGCATGACAGATGCCCCGGACCAGGAGATGCCTCAGAGCATCATGTGCATCAGGTGTGAGGAAGAGACAAGCATCTTGACGAGCTACCCAACTGGAAGGAACTGCTTGAGGCGGATCTGCTCCTGCTGTTCGTCCACAGACCGGTGCCTCTCTCGGATGGCTAAAGCACCGAAGAAGGGCTCTGCCGAAGAAGCCAAAGAAAGCGAGGAGGCCAAGAAAGCTCGAAAAAGCGCTGAGGCCCTGAGGGGAAGCGTGGCCAAGATGGGTTCCTCGGAGCGTGCCCAGTGGTACCGCCAAGAGAAACGGAAGCGGGCAACCGAGTCAAAGAAAAGCCGCAGGACCTTCGCAACGGCAGTGGGGGCCTTGGAAGAGACTCGCCAGACTGGGAACGAAGATTGCAGCGGCTCACGATACATGACCCCCCGCGACTGGTGCGCACGGGAAATGATCCTGAAGCAGTACAGTACCTTGGAGGATGCTATGGTAGCCTACGAGCAGCGCTGCACAGATCCGGACGTTGTGACCAAGGAGATCAACGGGGAACTCTGCCTCCGGGTCAACAACGGAGGTCTGGAAAATGTCGTGGACCGCCATACCGTTGCAGCATCCGTGCGGCAGCGGACTGACCTTGGCGATGGCGAGCAGCTTGATGGTTTCGAAGAGGAAATCGGACCTCGCATGAAACGTGCTTCTGACAAGCTCCAAACAGAGCGGCTTCTGTCAGAGCAGCAGGGCAAGCAGGCCTACGTTCCGGCCGTCGCGGTGCGACGAGATTTGGAGCAAGAGAAGGAAGTTGCTGAGAACAGAGCTGCTGAATTTCAGCAGCAAGCCTTGGCACTCAAGGAGAAAGCTGATCAAAAGAGGAAAGAGTTGAAGGAGAAGCAAGCAACCCAGCTTCCCTCCTTGGCAGTGGCAAAGCTCAGCCTCACCAACGCTATCCACAAGGCAAATGCTTCGATGTCCGAGCTGTTGAAGCGTCAGAAGGCCACAGCAGACACCTTGTGCAAGGACTTGACGAATGCTTTGTGCATGTCAGACGTCCCCGTGAAGAGAGAAGCCGAGGAAAAGACGAAAGTGCTGAATGGCAAGATCAAGGACCTGGAGACTGCCATGGAGGAGTCCATCGCAGAATGGAACACCAAGGCTGGTGACGAAAGCCTTGACATCGAAGCCATGGTGTCAATGGAGAAGGATCTGGCAGCCTACATGAAGGAGTGGCACCTTGGCAAGCACTGCCAGGCAGTGTTGGACACGAAGCAGCAGATTAAAAACTTCCGCGAATTCACCTCAGACTGCAAGAAGGAGGTGAAGAAGCGGGACAAGCTGGCCGCGAAGGCGACAGTGAGGGGTTCGAACAAGAAGGCCAAGCTTGATCATCCGAACAGCCAGGCAGCTGCCGAGACCCCCGCCTTGGTGGTCAATCTGTTGAAGCACCTCAAGGAGAACCCGCTTCCCGATGAAATCATCAACTGCGCAACGGAGCCAGAGGATGAGATGACAGTGCCCCTTCTGCTCCCACCAACGCCGATGGAAGGCTTTACCCGGGATGTGACCCGGCACGAGTATTACAGCGAGCAAAAGAAGTGGGTGGAGCAGATGCTGCTGAGGAGCAGCCAGAAGTATTCGTGTGCGGTGGTCACCAGAGACAATGTGGCCAGGCCCTTCTTGCAGCAGCTGGACCAGATCCTGCCGGTGCCACTGCGTTCCGTGGCACGACCCTCGAGCAAGGAGCTGCAAGAGATCTGGCAGTTGTACTTTTACCAGATGGCCGGGGACTCCGGCCGCCTCTCGATGTCCACTGACTGGGGCTTGCCCGAATTGCGCATCTGCTGCGAAGGCAAGGAGATCTACTTGGGGTTCCCCGTGAAGAAGCTAGCCGGCAACACGACGGCCGAGATGCTGCAGCACCTGGAGCGGATGCGTGCAGAAGAGTTCCTCACGGCAGTTGAGCGGGATGGCTGGTGTGTGACATGCCGCCCTGGGAGGGGAGTCGTGCTGCCCACGAATTGTTTGTTCGTTCATCTGAGCCTGGAGGGACCTGAGACCTGCCACGGAGCCAGGATTCACATCGTGTCTGACAAAAGCCTCCAGACGGCTCTCACTCACCTGGAGAGGCAGGTCCAACAGGACCCGACACTGGAGTCCAAAAGAACCGGCCAGCTGCTGAAGTGGATCCGCGAGAGGTGAACTGTGCGGCATCCTTAGCGTCCAGGCTGCAGCTTCTGCTGCTAACCTGTGACCTTATGGATCATTCACCTTGGCTTCGTGGCTGCCACTGTTGGCTACCCACTTGCCTGCTCCCCGCAACCCCATCTCATCGGGGTGCGGTTTTTAACAGTTGTTTTCGGCAGGGGTGCTGCTTCGCAGCTATCCCTTCGGCAGGGGTGCTATCCTGTGGGCTGCTGCTTTTGCAGCTAACCCATCGGCAAGGGTGCTGCTTCGCAGCTATCCCTTTGGCAGGGGTGCTGCTTGGCAGCTACACTGTGGGCTGCTGCTTTTGCAGCTAACCCATTCTTGCCTTTTTCCGAACCCTGGGAAGATACAACTGACACCAAGACGTGCGGGAGAATAGTGGGATCAGCGTCTGAGAGCAGAGCCTTAGGACTAGGACAAGTACAGACCTCAGCAGTATCTGAAGCTGTAGGCTCTGGAGAAGCGGTTTGGGTACACACTCGTGCTTACTGTTGAGGTCGGGTTTCTCAGGGTGTTACTGTGCACAGTGTCACCGGGTTCCCTGTCAGCCAAGCTTCACTTTTGAAGCTTGCAAAGGGATGTATCGATTCACCTGTGAACAATCTGCTCTCAGACAACCCACAAACAAAAAAGTTGTGGGCCAAAGCCGTAGGGCCGTAGGGAGTCCTGGGTGTCCGGGGTTATGTCAGGAGTTTCGGGGGGGGGGACGGGGTTGTGTTGAGGGGGTGTCCGGGATGTCCGGAGTGGTGTCCGGGGTGGTGTCCGGGATGTCCGGGGCATGTCCGGGGCATGTCCGGGGCATGTCCGGGGCATGTCCGGGGTTGTGTGTCCTGAGGTCTGTGTCCCGAGGTCCCACCCAAGGTTTATGCATTAATATCATCTAGGATGGGACAGGGGAGAGCATTTGCTGTACTGCTGCATTTCATGAACCGCAGAAGTTAAGCTCTGTCAGTTTCGGTGTTGAGCGGTGTGCCTTTCAGGATGTCCAGCCAACGTTTGTTCGATAGCCAAGTGATGCTGGACAACGACTCTGTGCTGTTCGACAGCCAGGTTGATCCAGGGACTTGGGCAGCGGGGCGCACGTTGGCTTCACCGGTTGTGCCTGCTGCTAGTTCTACTGCAGTGCACCAGACTGGCCTGAAGCGCAAGAATGCATGCCTGGAATGGGAAGGCGATTTTCCAGACACCCAGGTAGAGCTGTATCCGCCGCCTACTATCGTGAATATCAACGAGGACCCAAGCCCAAAACCGAAACCCCGCAATGAGGTGGCTGAGAAGTCCTCAGAAAAGTCCTTGCAAGAACAGCTAGAAGCCTCCCAGTCGAAGGTGAGTGAGCTGCAGGAACTGAACAGAACTCTGCACTGCAAAGCCGCGGAGTTAGCACAGCAGCTGGTGCAAGTGATGGAGGAAAAAAACAATCTTCTGGCTGAGAAGCATGCGAAGATGATCGCTGACTTGAGGGTGATGCGTTCTGCCCGCGAAGAGCTTGACGAGCTTTTGGATCTTAATTTTGATGACGACGACGATCAATGCTGAGAAGCAGTTCCTGAGGCTTGGCCTTGAAGTTTCTGTTGCCGTCCTGGCTGCTGGGGAGCTTTTTCAGCCAATGCAGTTTTTGGCCACGGGCCGCAGACTTTTCATTCAGGGCAGCAGGCTCAGGGTGCTACCGCGAAGGCTTCGCGATGCGCCCAGTGCCAGCCGCCTTGAAGAAAGAGGCCCATGGGTAGTATGTATACGGCTAGAAAGGCAGGGGAATGCATGCAGGGGACTACAGAAACCAGGTGCTCCGAGCGTGAGTGTCGGAACAGTGGAAAAAGAGGACCTGAGCTTGTGTAGTTTCTGAACGGTAATAGGGATGTGTTATGGGCCTTGTTAGGGAGGGTTTTGGACTGGCGAGGGCTTGTGCGTGCTACCAGAAAAGGACCGATTTTGTTTCAAGGGGACGTGTTTTTTTTGGTTGGGAAAACGCAGCTTTTGAGTGAACGGTTTAAACCCTATTAGAACGAATGCAATTTTTCTAAAACGGTTCATAACCTTTTTTTATTTCGACCCCGTTTGCAGCAAGGGTTAACGCCCCCCGGGCCTAGATGAATCACTTATACGGCCAGCAGGAGCGGGCAGTGCTGCGCCGTGTTCAAAGGGTGCAGTCGATGGCCAAGGGTGTGGAGCAGGAGCGACGAGCCCAGAAGCAGATGTTTGAAGTGCGGCCGCAAAAGCTCGTGGTACCTTCTCGTGACGAACCGATGAACATGTTTCAGCCGGCCACCTGGGCGATGGCGTTCCCGGAGCTTTTTCCTTGGGGGGACGGCGTTCCGTTCGTCAAGCGCGAGACGGGCATGGAGGCGGGCGAGGTATTTCGGTATTTGTTGCTTCGAGAAGAGCTGGTTTATGGCGACACGATTGCTTCGCCGGCCCTTCCTCGGTGGAGTATGTCCGTGTCCTGGCAGTGTTACATTCAAGACCGGGTTCGGAGTTAAGAATGGATATTAAATATTTCCGCCGGCTAGCGGATATGTGAAAGTAGTATGTCCGTGTCCTGGCAGTGTTACATTCAAGACGGGGTTTGGAGTTAAGAATCGACATTAAATAATTCCGCCAGTGGACGCTGTCTTGCGAAAGCTGGCGGATTTGTGAAAGTGAATGGGCTCGCAGCAGGAGCAGCTCTTGCCTGTCATGTACGATGTGAACCGCAGACTTTCTCTCATGCGGACATCGAAAGCCTACGTGAAGCGGAGTGGTTTCAGTCGACACTGTGCGAAGATTGCGTCGGTGACCACGGAACAGCTGCTGCAGGCCATGGCCCTGCACGGCGAGAAGGCCGACATTCGCGAGTTATTGCGGTCGCCGGATGTTGACGTGTCGTTGAAGCGCGCGCTTGGCAGCGTGCTGCAGGCGAGCGCGAACGTCTTGGGCACGGAAGGACACCGCAGTCAAATTCGACTTCGAGGCCATGCGGCTGGTTGGCACTACGGGACTTCTCACGTCTTCGTGACGCCGAATTTGGCGGATTCCCGTGCTTCTTTGCTGCTGCAGCTGCACCTTCAAGGCGCGGAAGGGAAGGTCGAAAACTTCGACGTCGATCTGCGATGGGACTTGGAAGAGCCCTCGCTGCCGTCCTTGGCCGCCATGAGGCGTATGTTGGCAGCCGATCCCGTGTCGCAGGCGAGGTTTTTCGATCTCATGATGACTTTGTTTTTCGAAGAGGTGCTGGGAACGTTGCCACCCTTTACTCGAGCGAGTTTTCGTGCAGGAAAGGCTCAGCTCTACGAAGATGGTTTCGCGGCATCGACTTTCCCAGGTTGCTTCGGTGACATTGCCGCTTTCTGCGGCCCTCTGGAGACTCAAGGACGAGGTTCGATGCATCCCCACATCTTGATCGTTCTGTTGGGCCACGACCTGGGCAGTCGTCTGCGCTCCATGATGGCCAGGGCTGCGCGAGGTGAGGTCGTGACCGAGCTCCAACGTTGGCGCGAGAAAGTCTTGCAGGCCGCAAGCCGCATTCGATATGACAGCCAGCTTGCTTTGGCTGCCCAGCTGTCCGTCGATGCCGCGCCCCTGCCTCTTGGCGAGCGCCTAAAGGCGTCTGCGGGCAATCAGTATGCGGGGGCTCCTTTGGGAGAGAAGGAGCCGGACGGGCATGAGCTTGCGGCCACGGAGAGTACCGACCAGGCACCTTTGCGATTGACGGGCTGCTATAATTCGCTGAGACCGGCATATCTTCGCCGCTGCCGCAAGGAAGATGCACTGTCTGGTTCCGAGTGGTCGCAGCAGCTGTGCAAGGACTATCGGCGTCTGGTCATTCAAAACCACTTTCACAAGTGCACGAAGTCTTGTTTCAAGAAGTTTCCTGTCCGTACGTGTGCGTGTGTGTGGGTGTGTTTGTGTGAGCGATGTCTTTTGTGTGTTATGGTGTGCGTGTGTGTGTGTGTGTGTGTGTGTGCTTGTTTGCAACGTAGCACGTGTCGGCGTGGGTAGCAGCTCAGGAAGTCTGCCAAGGGCAAGCGTGGATGTCGCTTCGGCTGCTTTCACTTGGAACTGACGACTGAGAGGAATGACGAGGGCGAGGAGAAGGTGCGTCTCAAATGTTACAAGGGCTGGCCTCGAGTTCCCCAAGCCGGGTTCGCTGCTCTCCCTCGTGACCACGATGCATTGCCACAGCAAGAAGCAGCGAAAAACGAGTCCCCGCACGTTTTCCAGCCTCAGAGAGATCACCCCGCCGAGGGCATGTCGAATCCCACGGCACAGGTTTGCATGAGATGCAACGTGGATGTGAAGTATCTCGGACGATGTCTTTGCGAGTATGATCTGCAGACACTGCATGCCGACGGGGAGCACGAGTTACTGGATACCTGTTTACAGCGTCTGCTCGTTGACATGTTTCGAGATATGCAGGACGGTCGCTTTTTACTCATTACTTAGTATAAGATTAAGCGGGTAATGCGGTAGAAATGTTTCCTCACATCGTGTCGAAGTCTTTGCCGATGGAAGGATGTCCAATTTTACACTGGCGAGTATGCCGCGAAAAAGTTCGAGGTTTCCCGATCACTGCTGCCCGAACTCTTTGCTGGAATTCAACGCTTGGAGCAGGAAGAAGCCGAACGTCGGCGTCAAGAGCAAGGTGATGCTGCGGAGGCCGAGCCAGCCGAGCCTGCTGTGCGGTCTCAAGTCACACAAGCTCGTGCGTTGAGCATCTTGCGCCGTCTGGCTTTCGGCATGCAGCGCTGCGTTGCTAAGTCCAACGGCGAGATGGCGTATCAACTGTTGTTTCAACAGGAGCAGCTTGTGAGCTACAGCGGGTACAACATGTTCTTCCGTTTCGTCCCGTACGCCATGATGAAGGGTCGTCAGGTGGCGCTGGATGCATTTTCCGAAGGGCGGCCTGATTTGCGCGTTGTTGCTTTGGAGGCGGAGACGAACCCGGAAGCCACAGGCGAGGTTCCGTTGCAGGAGGTGGCGGAGGTAGAAGACGATGATGTCGGGAACCCCCTTGGCAAGGGCCGCCGACAGTCGCAGCCCGTGGCCTACAACCAAAAGGATGATTACGTGCATCGCGGGCCCAGTGCTGTATTGGCATGCATGTCCTTGGTCAACTACTCTCGCTACGTGCGGCGTGTGCCTCGCAGCAAGGCTGGGAGAGTGGACTTCGTGCGGTATTTCCCGTTCGATGCGCACTACGGGCAATATGCGTCTTCTTTGCAGGTCAGCCGACATGCATCAGCTTCAAATCCATGTTGGGTCCCATGCATGTGATGTGTAGACATGTACGCGTGCGGCAGGAGCTTCGAGGTGCCGACGACAACGTCGTCGTGCCCATGGATTTACATTGGCCTGCAGCCGGAGAGAAGGAGAAGCTCGCCTGTTGCATGCTCGGGCTCTCTTTCCCGTTTTCTCGCTGTGCCGGCGAGGAGCATTGCAATGATTCTTGGAAGTGTTTCCAGTGTCACATTCTGGAGGCGCGAGAACAAGAAGGTTTCGTGCGATGTCGCTTTTCCCCGGTGTGGCGCCACTGGCGAGCCTGCATGAAGCTGCGCAAAGCTTCTGCTCAGGAGAGGCTTTTGGGTGGTGTTGCACTGCCGTATGTCAGGGATCTCGTCGGTGTGCGAGAGTGGTTTCCGATGCCGAAGGTTGAGGAGGATGAGCAGAACAGGCTGCATCCGGATGACGGTGCCGGCGGCTCGGAGGACGTTGTCTTGCGAAGTCCAGCTGTCGGCGCCAGCAACTCGGAGGACGCTGTCTTGCGAAATTCAGCTCCTGAGCCGGAGCCGGAGCCGGGTTGTGGATCCGGCGAGATTCTCGATCTTCCGAACTGCGGGTACTTCCCGTACTTCCTCATGTGGTGTTGGGGCAAGAAGTTTCCAAATCGAAGCAATGCTTTTCACGATCTCCCGCGAGTTCATGAACGGATTTGCTGCTTTCTGGACATCCCCTGCGGATTTCATTACACTCAACTCACTCCCCTGGAACATATGTGTCACGTTCAGGATACCTGGCTGGAGCGAGTTTCTTTACACCATTCTGCGAGACAAATTAGCAGTAGCCAACGCAGGGCAGAACGCTTTGCGTACGTTTCCAAAGCCGATGAGGAAGGGGAGCAGGCGAGGACATGCATTGGGTTCCCCTCCATTTTGGTGTGTATGTGTGTGTGTGTGTGTGCGTTTGTTTGCCGTGTCTGCATGACGACAGGACGGTTCTGGGCCCATGGACATCGAGGAGGCCTCTGTAGATGATGACCTGGAGCATGAGGATGCCATCGAGCGCGCGGAATGGCGGGCGCAACAAAAGCCAGAAGCCAGCGCCGCCGCCACAAGGGGTGGCACCTTCGTCGTCCATCGGGAATGCAACCCTTCACAGGGATTGGCCACCGTCGAGACGCAGGAGCTCCTCGATTGCTTGGCGGATTAAATACTTTGCGGCATCTGGCGGGTTTCCTAGTGAAGTGGGGTGTTTCACTTCGGAACGGTGTCTTCCCAAATCCCGAATGGCTGCACTGCCTTTCGCTGCTGGACTCCCGGTGCCACGAGTCGCGCAGCAGCTCA